AATTCTTTCTGTGTGGGTCAGCAGAACAAGTAAGTTGCCGAAGAATGTGAAGGGAGTTTTATTTTTATACACATACCCACAATGCTGTGGAGAAAACCATTTATTTCTGGAAGTATCAGGAACCTTTGGCATCACCAGCTTCACCTGTTAACAGATATTCCACTCATTAGTGATGGAGCTGCAATTGAATCCCTATGTCAAAAAGGGAATCCAAGAGGAGAATGTCTGTATAGCAGTGTCTTCGAGATGGTTAAGCAGCTGTGTTGTACTGTCCTTCCGGTCAGAGCTAGAAAACTCTACTAATATGACCGAAGCTTGAATGCTCACAGCCTGGCTTCCCGGAATTAATGTCGCTGTCAGCCAGTAGCCCCAGCACCTAGAGTGTCACCCAAGAAGACAAAAGGTTTAATCAGCCTAACAAGGGACCTAACTCTGCACTTCTTACAAAGGAGGGAATTAACGAGACACCTGGTCTTACTTCACTGCAAAGTGGAATGGGGGCAGCCACCTCAACTGTGCGAGGTGAGACAGATAAGCTGGTGTAAAGGGTTCAATGTCCTTGGAGCCCTGAGGGTGTAGTGGTTACTCCCTTGTTGGGTTGCAATCCACATGGTCGGCAGTTTGAAACCACCAACAGCTCCGTGGGAGGAAGACTGGACTTTCTACTCCCATACACAGTTACAGTCTCAGAAGCCCCCAGGGGGTCGCTCTGAGTCCGCAGTGACTTGATGGCAGTGAGCACCCTCAGGTGGGGCCCCTCGAACAAGCGCCTGCATGAGGGCTGGCTGGCTCCCTGGCACTGTTTTGTTTGGAACTGTCTTGGAGAAGCTAAGGCGTCCACGGCTTTCCAGAGAACTCTGGTTCTTCCACAGATGCCCAAGGGCAAGCCAAAGGGAGGTGTCAGAGAAACGCTGGGTCAGCCGTAGACCATGTGTGTGTGGGCGGCGGCGAGAGACGGGCTTTGAGGCCAAGCTCTGCAGCTGGCCACTCATGTATCCTGGGCCAGAGGACCTTACCTCAGCTCTGTGAGATTCGAGTTAATTCCTACTGCGATACGGTTGCCAAACTGATTAAAGAAGAAAAAGAAGAACGGTAACGTGGCTAGACCAAGGCTTGCATGCTCAGTTTGGTGAGCTATGACTGTTGACATTTTCTTAGAAGGGAAGTTTGCTTGTTGCCATGAGCTCTGGGTGACGGTGTCCCTGCCTTCCCACAGGAGTAGGGCAAGACAATTGGGCTCGGAACAGGTGGAATGCCCTTGCCCAGCTCCTGGTGCCACCGTGGGTTAAGTGTCGGGTGGCTATCGCCAACCACAAGGTCCAATCGGCGTGCTCCCAGGGAGAAAGATGAGCCTGCCCGCTTCGTTAAGGATGGACAGCCCTGGAAACCCTCTGTGGAGCAGTTCTGCACTTTGTCTGATCGGGGCACTCACGGTTCCCTCAGAATCAGCTCGACAGCACTGGGCTTTCACTCCTGTTCACCCCTCCGAGCTCATCTGAAAGGCACCGATTTCTCATCCCCTGGGAGGATTAGCCACTTCTGCCTCCTGTGGACACACACGCACACACACTCACCTACAATCGCCCTGTGCCAATTGCACTATACCAGACGGCCGTATTTATTTCTACCTTCTGCTGCTATTCTTCAAATTCTGCCCAGAAACTGTCCCCACCCCCAACGATGCCATGTTGCTCCTGAATCTTTGCTGTCTGTGTCCAGGACCCTTTCATTTTTGTCCATTTTTTTATGGCACAGACATCAGATCCAGTGGGGGTGTCACATCCAGTGAGCAGACAACAGGCCCAAAGTGTGGTGTTTCCCTAAAGCTGAGCTGCTTCCTGGCCCCCACAGCTAAATCCTGCCTCGGGCTACCCCTTCCACGCAGTGTGGTTGCAAACGCTCTTGATTTTATTGGTCCCTCTGCAGACCTCTTCCTGGCACTGCTGGGCCAACGCTCCAGGTCCGGCTGCTAACAACTCCAATGAGCATTTCCTCTGAACAGCAGTAACCTCTCTGGACACAAGTGTCACTCACCGGCATCATGCTCAGAAACCCAGTTAGAGTCAGTCCGAGCAGTGTCCCAGCCACACTGAGACCGCAGGATTCTGGGCTCAGGCACCAGGGTTGGGTTCATGCTGTGGTTCTTTACCAGCATCCCTGAGCTTCTCGATGGGTGCCGGGGTCTCACTGTCCCCAAGGCCAGTAGAGGCACCCAACAAGACCTCTGCCCCCTGGGAGCTCCTGGTCACAGTGGACACCAGTAAACATCCACACACACACACACCACCACCACCACCTGCAGTGCTCAGGAGTGCACAAGTCACTGTGAGAACCATAGCCTGACTTTGAGAAGAAGACAGTCCAGGTGGAAGCACAGAGCTTGGAAAAGTAAGGAAGAAGTCAGAAGAAGGTGACCTGAACCACAGAATGCATTCTGGAGCATCTCAAGTGTAGGGGAGCAGAGTGAAAGTGCTCCCCTTTCAAGAAAGGACACGAGGAACAAAAGGTGGGCCCAGCTGGGGAAGAGTTTGTTTGCCCAGCTGGGGAGCCAGGACTATTCCTTCCTCCCCCGCACAGAACCCCAATGTGTGCCGCACAGGCTGCCATGTATACAACGTCGAGCAAAGCAGGGACCGACCGTTGCTACTCACCGGCATACAGGCTCGTGGAAGAAACAAGCAATCCCATAAATCTGAGTGCCAGGGAAGGTCTTGAGTAGGGCACCCCTGATTGCATTTGAGAAATCACTCTGACCAAAAGAATTTCAGTAGGCTGGAAGGAAGGGAGAAAGAGGAGAGGGACTATAGATAGTTAAGCATTCACCATAGCAGGGTAGGCCTGGGAGAGAGAAGGGGACAAACGAGACATTTCACAGCACCAGTCATTCTACTCTGGGTAGCTACAAAATAACAAAACAAAACTCGCTGCCATCGAGTCAGTGACAACTAGTGACGCCCCTGTGGGTTTCTGAGACTGTCACTATTGACGGGAGTAGAAAGCCCAGTCTTTCTCCCAAGGAGCTACTGGCAGTTTCGAACTGCTGACCATGTGGGGCACAGCCCACTGCGTACCCACTACGCCACCAGGAATCCTGTGGGTAGCTATGGATAATGATAAAAATGGGTTGCCATTGAGCTGACACCTTGTGTGTCAGAGCAGGGCTGTGCTCCCTAGAGTTTGCAGTGGCTGGTTTTTCAGCGAGAGATACCCAGGCCTTTCTCCAGATGTGTCTGTGAGTCGACTGGGACGGTCAACCTGTGGCCTAGTAGCTGAGCAGGTTAGCCGTTTGCACCCCAGGAAAGAGAGAACCCAATTTGGGGTACAGTCTAGGTGGGATAATAATGTAGAGTTCGGCCCATTTGAGTTTGGGGTGCCAGGGGCCCCTCACATGAAGATTGGGACGGAAAGGTTTGGATGGAGCTCTAGAAAGATGTCAGAGCTGATGATCCTGAGCAGGAGGCTTCTGTATACATGTGACCTTGTGAGCATGGATGGGATTACCGAGGAGAGGGTGAATTACCCTGCTCTGGTCCTGAGGATGAGAAACAAATGATTTGCATTGGAGCTGGGCTTCTGAGAGTTATTCGTAGCCAAGCTCTCTCTCAAGTGTTCAGCAAGGAAAATACAAAGACTTATCTAAGTAATCCGTGTCATCTAAAGCTTTGTCTCTTTTCTAATAAATAGTATATGCTTTTTTTCCCTCTCTCTCTCTTGTATCATACAGTGCTTCCAACCAAACAGCTTTCCCTTCTTGCTTCCACAGCCAGGAAGCTCAGCGCTAATTTTGTAACTGAATCTTAGAAAACATCCAGATACTTTATTTCCCACATATACCATAAAAATAAATTGAACGTCTTTTTTGTGCATTCCAGGCCTGATTCCCCACCCCCACCCCCTTTGTTTTATGTGCTCGGGTAAGCTTCCTCCAATCCTTATAAAATTTGATGAGGTATTAGTGTATAAAGATAAATCTTCCCTGTACCCTAATCTTGGGAGTCATGTTTGCACCCTTGTAAAACATCTGCCCTGTTGCTAAGTGAACACTGGCTAGATTTCAGCCAGAGACGTTCTCAGGACGTGCAGCTACTGGCCACTAAACTTCTGCACTCAGTAACTCATGTTGGTAAGCAGGATGAAAGTGGAGCTTCAAAACCTGTTCAGTGTTTGCCACCAAGCCTCTGAAAGGGGGGCGGAGGGGGGGGGGCGTACCTTTAACTCAAGGTCTGAAAGCGTGATCTTTCAGAATTGATGCACGGCTGAAATTAAAGATGTGTTTGTGTAGATGAGCACTCCAAGTACCTTCAAAGGAGGATTGAGGTGTTGACTGTACACGGATGGACTTTAAAAACAAACAAACACGTAGGATATCATTCTCTCAACTCAAGCGTGTCGTCTGGCAAAAGCAAACTTCCTTATCAAATGGCATGAGCACAGATTTGGATGATAAACCAGTTTTGTTCCTCGCTGTTCTTTAGCTGAGCAGTTCGTTTTCAGTGGAGTCGTGCTGTTGGTTGAGATGGCGGTGGCATTGGTTCTAGGGCTGGTTCTCCAGCTGGGGCCTGAATGGCTGCAGAGGTTCTGGAGATGAGGTTGGGGGCGGCCGCCAAGCCACAGAGCCCAGGTCCCACCCCACCCTCAGTCAGCACCAACCAGAGCAGCTCTCCTTCTGCACAAAGTTCTAGCTGGATAAAGGGCTCCGCTCCGCTCCGCTCCGAAAAGGGCACGTTTGGGAATGACTGCCTCTTTGATCACTTCAAGACATCTTGCTGCTCGGGTATGGGTGTGCCTCTAGGAAGGGCACGGGGTTAGGAGTCTGGTGTTCAGGTCCCAGCTCTACCTCCTCCTCTCTCTAAGAGCTTCCTCAGCCATAGCATAGAAAGGTGTTGCTAATCCTAGCCACGTTACCAGGTTACTAAGGATTAGGTAAAGCAGCAGATGCACGGTGCTGCCTAGAGGACGGAGCCATTTCAGCCCCTCGTCCCCCTGTCTCCATCTTCCAGGAGGAGCCCATCACCTTCTCTGAGGAAGCCTTCGTGTCCCAGTACCGCTCCGGAGCCATGAGACAGTTCCTGCAGAACGCCACGCAGTTACAGCTCTTCAAGCAGGTGCCCCACCTCCTGCCCTCCCTCCCAGTGACCCGCTGTGGCCTGTGTCTGATTGGATCCCTGGTGGGGCTCTTGGTAGCTGCCCCCACTCTATATCCTAAGACCACAGTGGCCTAGACTGGACGAGGGCTCCAGCCTAAAGAGACTCAGAGTCTGGCAAAGGGGCTGGTCAGCAACCAAGCAGACACACTGTCCAAAAAGTAAATAAGTAAACACAGCCAGGGTTTTAGCAACAGACTTGTTCGTACTTCCTCTTTTGAGAACGCACCATCTCAAAGGACTGTTCTCATCTGGGACCATGCAGGTGGTGGTTCTGTGGTCATACACCCAGATGAATCCATCATGAATCCCCCATCACCACCGCCACCCCCCCGTCCCAGTGCTCTGTACAAACTGTTGTGCTTTGGTTATCTCTCTGTAGTTTATTGATGGCCGATTAGACCTGCTCAATTCTGGTGAAGGTTTCAGTGATGTTTTTGAGGAAGAGATCAACATGGGCGAGTATGCTGGTGAGAAACATCATTTTCCTTCACGGGGCTGGGCCTACGATGGATTAGCATGTGTCTGCCAAAGAATGGAAGTGACTTCCCCTCCCCTTTAGTAGAGGTTAGGGGAAGACGTAAGTGTTTGAGGAATCCTTTTTCAATCTGTGGGAAGTTTCATGGGCTCTCATGAAATCCTCTATCCAGGGCTGACCCACTAGCTAGACGGAGTGCCCAGCCAGATCACCTGGAGGTCACACGAGATCAGGAATTCAGAGACCTTCCTTCAGACCAGAACTCTGCCTCCTGCTCGCTCTGAGACCTTGGCCAAGTCCCCTCACCTCCTTTAGTCGACGTTCTCCTTTCTCCACACCAAGAGCAGTATTACCTCCCAGGGTTCCTGTTACCATACAATTGGAATCCATTCAAAAGGGTTTATGCAGGCTGGTTGTTTTTACGCTGGTCAGTCCCTGGCCGTAGGCTCGGGTTTGGGGATTGTTTCTTTCAATGTGGAAATGGTTGCTGAGAGCCTGGGCTCTCTGTAGACCTCAGGAACTGGAGGAACCACCCTTTCTTTTTTCAGAGGTGGCATCTGAGGTCCAGAGAGGTTCAGTAATCCACCTGCCTCCTGAATGCCAATCTGGCCATTTTTCCAAATCCCACAGCCTCAGTGGTGCTTGCTTTTTTTCTCTTTTTTCTTTCCTCCTCATCACCCAAGAATACTGAGGACCGAGTGAGTCTGGGTCCAGCCCTGAGACCCACAGCCCTGTTAGCCTGCCCAGGGGTGGCTCACAATGCTTTAGAGACCATGGACTTCTCAAGGGGTGTTCCCTGCCCCAGAGTGCTGCTCAGAGGGACGAGGGAATATCTGAACTGGTGGTTTGGTCTACCAAGCAGACCGAGTAGGAAATGATAATTAGGTAAGAGCAGCAGCATTTTCAAGGACCTAGAGGACCAAGGCAAGACGTGGTAAAGCAATCCTAGGCGTTCCTCCTGGTTGGAGCATAAGGTAATACCAGCCCGGGAGGCGGTGGGTGATACCAAGAGAAAACTGAGGAGAGGCAGGGAGCCCTCAGGAGTCTGGCCTTTCCAGGAGTCAGTGAGGAAGAATTTGAATGTTGTAGCCAAGTCAACACCATCAACTCTTTCTTGGTGAAGATGGTTATCTTAGTGGTAGTGACTTGCTGCTGCGTGCTTTGCGGGAAGGGAGGGAGGTGGGGTGGGAAAGGAGACCTTCCATGTAGTTCTTCAGATTTTGAGTTTTCCAAAGCTTGCGTGCTTGAAGGCAACTTGAGAAACTTCTGAGGGAAGTTTCTTTAAATAACAGCTGCTGTGCATTCTCTTCCCACAGGTAGTGACAAACTGTACCACCAATGGCTCGCCACAGTCCGGGTAAGTGCACATCCCATCAGAGCCACCAGGCCTCCTGATTAGCCTCTTGGCAGTCTTTGGCTTCCCCTACCACCCACAAAGCTGTCACTGGGCCCGGAGCACTCCATTCCCTCCCCTGAAGATGTTTTTGTCTTTCGAGCCAGGCCATTCTCATGCCAGTTGGAGACTAGACGGAGCAGACCTTCCAAAGCTGCCCCTTGGTGGGCGTAAAGGAGTCGGGAAGCTTCCTCATCATCAGGAAGCCAGCCAAGGCTTGTTGAATAGGATGTTGTCTTAGAACATTTCTGGGGTCTCCTTCTAGGACTAGTACAATTTGAGTGATTCTAGGTAAACCAAAAAAATGTGTCCCTCTTGCTGCTCTACAGTATTGTTCACAGCAAAGGTTTCTAGGAAGACAGAAAACACATGCCTAAGCAATGCTTTCCATCCCTTCGCTGTTGTTGTAAACAATTTCTTTTTGTGTCAAGAGCCAGGTGCTTAGGGCTTCAGAAGCCAAGAAAGCATTCAAAGCCTCCTTGTCTGTCTTTTCTCTCAGTTGGTTCAGGAGCGCACACTGAAGGCCACCTGCATGCCCAGCACCGTCCAGGGTGTGGGGGATAGGGACGGAAGCAGGAGACAGGCCCCTCCCTGAGGGAGCCCTTGGTCTTGTCAGGGAGGCTGGGATGTAAACAGGCAACTCCAACATAATGGGATAAGTGTTCTCTCCTGCTTGTGTGTCAAGTGCACTGCTGCCAAGGTAGATCCCTTGGAAGTGACTACAGTTAGTTGGGCATAAGCAATTCCATGATGAAAGACCTCTTTTGTTCTTCATATATGGCCAAACACAGCACTTGGCAACTCGCAGACCAGCAATAAGGACTTGTTGATTGATTGATAGATAAAGGGAGTTGTACACTCTAAAGGACCATTTAAATGATTCTGAGTCATTCTGGAAAGCAGTATGGAATCAGTGAGCAGGTGAAAATTTCATCGTGTCCTACCACATCGAATGTTTTTAGGTCAAAATGGAATATTTTTAATCAGAGCTCAAATTTTCAAAGGCAGACAATTTCCAAAAGTTATGCTAAAATTCAAGCCCCCAAATCACAAGACGATAGTTTATTCTCTTATATACCCATCTCCTAATCTATTTTTCACATATGGGTTGGGATTATCTTTCCGAACCTCTACAAATCTCATTATGCAGTACATTTGATTTAAAACCCCCAGGATTATAGACCCCTTCACCTTGCACCCAGGACCCTGTCTGAACTACCTCCATCTGACCTCCGCAACCCCATCTTCTGTGGCCATTCTGAGCCACTTGTGGTTACTTCCAGAATGCACCATGACGCTACCCTTTCCACCCCTTTTTATGTGTTATTTCCTTTCCCTAGAATGTTCTCCCCACCCCCCAACTCCAGCCCTCCACAGGAACCTGCTGCTCTTTCATGATCCAAGTCAAATGTTTCCTCCTCGGGAGCCTTCCCTAACCTTCCCAACAATGCGTTGTGCCTAGGTCTGTGTCTCCACAGCTATCACAACACTTATCACCGTGTGTTGCAATGATTCATTTGGAGCAAGTTCCCCCACCCCATCCACCGGACGGGAGGTCTGTAAAAGGAAATTCCAGGTGTCATTGGGCTCTACATCAGGCTGGGTTGACTAGAGAAACAAATTCAATGACACTCATATATGTAAGAAAGAGCTTTATATCAAGAAGTAATTATACACCAAGAAAACACCCCAGCCCCATCCAACTCAAGTCAATAAGTCCAATACTAGCCTGTAGGTCCCTCTGCAGACTCACACAGTCACAAGCAATGCTGCAGAATGCAGGAATATCCCAGGTTGGTGGGTACAAAGTCGTGTGGATCCAATGGAGGTGGATGCATCACAGGGTACTAGCAGCCACCAGGGTCAGCCAGCCAGGAAAGTGAAGACAGAGAGAGGGGGTTCCCAGGGCTCTCCTTAAGAGAAGGTCATGCCCACAAGGAGGCATCGTCAGACGGTGACCCAATTGACAGATTGAATACCACCCCTACACTTTTATGTGTCTTCAAGTTGACATGAAATTATGTAACCACCCCAGGCTCCATGCCTACAGATCCTATGACAGGTAACCATGCTCACGGGGAGCCTCACACACTGTCAGGAGCAGTGGTTCTCAACCTTCCTAACGCCTCGACCCTTTCATACAGTTCCTCATGTTGTGGTGACTCCCAACCATAACATTATTTTCGTTGCTACTTCATAGCTGTTGTTTTGCTACTGTTATGAATCGGGTGACCCCTGTGAAAGGGTCTTTCAACCCCCAAAGGGGTCACGACCCACAGGTTGAGACCTGCGGGTCTGGAGGAATGGGACTAAAAAATGGATTCATGAACTATGGCCTACATAGTTCATATGTGTTTATTGCCTCGTTCATGTCGTAGAATGCTTCCCTCCTGAAAGTGCGCTGAGAAATATTGAGTCTATTGATTTATGTAGTAAAGCCATAGTTGACAATTATGGCTATCCTTTTCTTTTGTCAAGGCCTAGATATTAAAGAAAGTGACACACCAGAGTGATGTTAAAAAACAACTGCACCCAGAACCCAACACGTGGAAATAACATCAGTGTCCATCCGCTGATGAATGGATAAATAAAAATGTGGTTCATATATACAATGGAATGTTCTTCAGCCAGTAGGAGAAATGAAGTCTTAATTGATGCGTGCTATAGTCTGGAGGAGACCTAAAGACATTCTGTTCTGCAAAATAAGTCAGTGACAAGAGAACAACTACTATATGACCTCACTTACCTAAAAAGACATGGCAAATATAGCAACAACAGTGTTTGTTAATGGTTTTCAAGGGTGAGAAGGAATTAGAAGGATTTACTCTGGTGGAAAAACCTCATTGATTCATAGTAGGGTTGCAAGGCCAGTTACTGTAATTGCTGTCAATAATTGTACACTTACAAAAAAGTTGAATTGGCAAAAGTTGTATGACAACAATGATACACACAAAAGTAGCTTCTGAAGCAA